CACCCGAACGGTCAATCAGTAAGCAGTGTGTAGGAAAGACAGAAGGAAGCAAAAGTTTCTCGGTCATCACCGGAAAATGCATGCAACAGGGCAAAAGTGCAAAAACACAAAAAAGAGAAGGAACGACGGGAATTGAGCCCGACGTGGGGGTCGGAAACCCACAACCTTGAGATTACGGAGGAACTCCTTAAGAGTCTCACGCTCTACCGATTGAGCTAGCCGGGCAAGCGGCTGATCAATCATTCCTTGATGGAACAAGAGAGTTGTTGAGTCATTTATGTAGCCCAGTCCCATATGTTTCCATATGTATGTGGGTGTGGGTGTGGGTGTGGGAGGAGTTTTTTTCTTCTGGTGTGCAGGTTTTGGTGCAGTGGTGGTCCTTGCACAGTCATCAAGATTGATTTGGCGCTAAGGAACCAGGGCTGCTACGGGCTTGGCCGCTCTGTTCCTGACTAGCGAGCGAACAGGGGGTTAGGGTCGACTTACAACACCAAGCAGTCCAGCACTGACCAAGCACTTGCTAACGAAACGCCTACCGAGGCAGGCCGTGGATGACTTGCATCCGTGCAACCACAATCGCAATCGCAATCTGCCAAACCTGTCTCATCACGGCAATGGCGGGCGGGCTGCAAACCCCTCTCCCAAGGCTCAAAAAATTATCAATGACATCAACCCTTTCCGACATCTCTCTTAGTCGAGCCAGTCGAGCCAGTGATCTGGTCCGGTTGGTGCAAGCGCTTAAAGCCCTATAATACGCCCCTGCTAATCCCCAGTGAGCCAGTCCGCGGTTTACACTAATGACCCCTGTCCTTTTAGCGGTTAACCCTGCTCTCTCCCGTTGGCCAGTCCCTGTTTGGATTTTAACCAATCCGCGCTCAAAGACAGGGAGGTGTAAGTGCTTGCATCCCACAGCAGGCCTCAGCAGCCCACCATCCTCAGGTACAGCTGCGTACAGCAGTGAAGTCTTGGGCGAGGTAACACAGATGAATGGTCAACGTGTGTTCCAGTGGAAGATGGGGTTTTTGGCTTTTAGACCGATTTGAAGGTCTTGAGGTGGTGATTGGAGATTATGATATCCCCAAATGTCCATCACCCCACGAACTTCAATGTTGTCGAACCAGTCATCCGGTCATCCAGTTACGGTGTCGCCACTCGCGTGGTAAGGTGCGTAGGCAGACTTTTTGATGGGGCTGATGGGGGATTGCAAGAGGCCTGACCGGCCAACAGGTTCGATAAAATGGAAGTGATGAGCAAATCAAAAGATTACTGCTGCGGAGGAAATGTCGTGATAGGTTGCTCCGATAGTCTGGACTACCCAGCTAGCTTTTTCTTCGGCCGTCAACCAAAAGCGTGAGACATGCCCACCGCAACCACGTTTCTTGTCTCAGTCTGGCACACACGCGATGATCCTTCGTTGCTAGACTATTCTAAGTCACTCCACCAGTTCTTCTTTTTCTCTTCCCTCTTTCTTCTTCCCATACCCATCCATCTTCCCAGGAACTCGGGATTCAACGGGCATCGTACACTTACAAGCAGTGACGCCAAGACGAACCAAAACGACAACGACAATGACTCGATAAACGACCAGTTAGGCATCATGGAACAGCGCCAACTAGAAGTAGTCGTCGCCATTTGGTCCATGACCCTTCTCTCACTTTCCTTTATGTTCCTACGCCTCTACACCCGCATACGCATCGTCAAGTTCATCGGCACCGAAGACTACGTCTACGTCCTGACGGGCCTCTTTCTTCTTCTATTCGCTGCTTTCCTTCATGTCTCGGTGCACTTTGGCATGGGGGCCAGTCTGTGGTCGCTATCGCTCGATAACACGTCAAAGTCGATATTCTGGAGCTATGTCGCCAACACCTTTGCGATAACGGGCAACGCCATGGCCAAGTTGTCGATGGGGTTCTTTTTGTTGAGGGTGGTGCAGTTGAGAGGGCAGAAGATGGCGCTCTGGGCGCTGATCGTGGTGACGGCAGGGACGTCATTTGCGTTGGTGGTCATGCTTTGGAATCAGACGACGCCGAGAAAGGCCAGCTGGGATCCGTTGAGAACGCCGGGGAAATGGCACATTAAGATTCAGCCCATGAGTGTTGGATTGGGGGTGTGGTCCAGCGTCTGTGATTTTATCTTTGCCATCTTTCCGTGGACCTTCATCTGGTCTTTGAGGATGCCACGACGGGAAAAAGTTATTTTGGCGAGTGGGATGAGCCTAGGCGTAATGTGAGTTCCCGGCAAACTCAGCGTTTTGTGGTTAGTGACCAAGCTGACGTATCATAGAGCCGGTGCTTGTGGCATCACGAGAACCGTTGTATTATCACATCTCAACATCTGGGATTACACTTGTAAGCCGTCCCTGATCTCTTGATAGTGACTCTCATCTGCTGACAAACCGCAGACAACTTTGCCCCGTACTTCATCTGGGCTGGTGCTGAAATAGCAGTGGCCATGGTATGCCTGGGTATACCAACCTTGCGTCCATTGTATCTCCGACGCCGCGGAATGACGGAAGACCATGAAGACCACCCATCCGATCAAAACAACCTCGAATTGCCCGAATTCACGATAGTCGAGCAACACAAACAAGAACAACACCAAAAGAAAATAGGAGACCACAAGTTGCCAACAAGCAGTGGTTCACACAACAAAGCCGAACGTAGTCCGAGTCCCCCACCGCCAGCATACGTCCGTGACTCGGCCTCATCACACACCGTCGTCGACGTAGATTCGCTACAGGATGTCGAGACATTCCAAACACCATTGAGTCCACCCAGCATGCAGAAGAAGAGCAGAAGGAGAAGGAATGACAGTGTAGACGACATATTGGGGCTATACGACGCAGAAAGGAGCCGAAGTCGGGGGACGGCTCATAGCCAAGGGACCAGGAGTACCATGTCGGCACATGAAACCTCATCAACAACGCATATAACCGCTTTGAAGTCATTGACTTCAACAACGATAAGCTCGACAGAGTGTAATGCAGCGAAGACGGCGGGAGCAATAATGGTGAAGAACGAGATATGGATTGGGGTGGAAAGAGACGAGGAGAACTGGCCTCTCCGGTGTTAAGACTTTCTCTTCCTTTTTTTATTTGTCAAAGATACATTTTTAGCATTCTGTTCACACAGATATTAGCAATTGGATGCAAGACATCAGCGTCAAATAAACCACCAGTCTGAACAACTTCCTTGGCTCGCTTGCGCCCAGAAGATCTCGAACCTTGGCTGAGCGGGTACTGTAGCCTTCCCCTGATCGTCGTTGAAGCGAATCTCCACCAGTGTCTTGGGTCGCATCCACCCTCGACAACCTGTCTGACGACAGCATCTGAACAATGGGATATCGTGAAAGAGAACACATAATCGAAGGTAAACTTAGCTGGAATTTCGATAAGGAACAAAGCCAGCTCCCGATACCCGGGTACTGATCGTGGGCGGGCAAAGACGCCAAGAGTTTGAGGCATGTTCGGTCATTCTGCATTTTCTTCTGGATAGCAAGCAGCGCTGAGAGTTGAAGGAGGCGAATGGAACTCGTCCGAGCAGGAATCCAGACCCGACGTAAGTTGTTGACGACACAAGGCCGTCGCAGACATCATTCAAAATAGGGTGTCGACTCATGAAGCAAGGCTGCTCGTTCATGTCTCACAACATCAGCAGCTGTCCATCCTCGCTCGTACACGACGCCTATTTGTCCGAGCAGCTCTTGCTTAGCAAAACTTTCTGACGTCTGACGAATGGCCGTCAGCTGTGGCAGTTTCCGGGTTCGAATTGTGGTGGTTGTTGTTCAGCTTTGCGGCATTTGAGTCCAGGCTGCGTACCGTGGAGGCTTTGAGGACACAGGATTGGGATTTGCGCATGCATTCGGGGCGACGATGATGATCACTTTTGATGGTGTTGAGGCGGGAAAACTGTCGTGGGCTTGATGGATCGGAGGATGTCGAAGGTCCCCGGCCTGCTTTTCTTTGCTATCAAGAGCAGAGCGCGGTCTCAATTGAAAGCGCAGAATTTTCTGGTTCCGTATCTCCTTCTTTTTTTGCTTCAAGAATCGGAAGTCGTGATCCTATTGAAGAAGTTTCGGACATGAGTCCGGTTCAATTCGTTGGCACTGCAGTTTTGTGGGGGTTGACTGCAGTGCTTCCCTTCTTTCCCAGTCCCCGCACTTTGTTGCCGCCGGCACCGGATTGATAGGTAGGCGGCTCGATACAATGCGCCCTCTGCAGCTCAGTTGCTTTTTGGCGGCTGTGTGCTGACACCTCATTGCAGACGAGCGGGACTCCCGTCCAGACATGCACCACTTCCACACAACATCACAAACCTGCATCTTTCAATCAGGCTCCAAGAACTTCCCGTCACCACCACCGCCATCATCCCCAATGTCAATGGCTTCACCCACCAGTTCAACACGGCAATTCAACTGACAGAATATTTAACGTGATCGCGATCAGGCAAGCCTTCCGTGCCTCGGACATACATCCCAATTTGATATCTTCCCCCTCAGCACAAGCACAACACAAATGGCACCCAGCTTGCGCCGCTTTCCAGGTAACTTCCGCAACACCACCCCCGCCGCCAGTCAACATTCAGCTGTCCCATATCGAGTCTAGCTTGCCCATTCATCGTTTTTGTTGGGTGGCTGTGTCTTTTCGGACGACCTCATGGTGTTTCAATACCACGCAAATTGGTCATCACATCCCCTCAGCCTTTGGTCAATTCACCTTTTGTCTCTCGCCGGCCTGCGATGGCCTTCAAATACCCGGACGTCATTGGTCGACCGCGGCCTATCTGGATCTCTTGTCGCCCTACCCATTCCTTATGTACCACATCCATCTCATTTGTCGGGACACGGTTCATGTCAGGACGGAAACCATCACACTTTGGATGTAACCGCGGAGTTCCCAGTGTTTCACACACTGCATTGTGGACCAGGGTCTTCACTGTTGTTGCGCAGAGCCTCTTCACTTTCTGCACTGATCGACTACTTTACTTCCTCGTTTTTGATATGCTCTCAAGGATTGTCCAGGTCATGATTGGGTTTCCTCGGGGTCAGCCCACGGAAGTTTGGTGGGCTTGATGCCGTGGAACATCGAGCGGGCCTCAAGTGGTCACCACACGGTAGTTCTGTATCTCTCCCCCCTTCAGCTTTCCGGATATAGCCTCGCTTCGGTCTCGAAGGTTGCTTTTCCGGCCCCATGCATTATTGCCTGATATTTTGCCTTCTTGTTATTTGTCGCCTTCTCTACAGGGCACTTTCAATGTCGCCGGGGGCGATTTGATCACGTCTATGACGAGACTCGGATGCGCACTTTACTATCACACTTTTACGTTGTAGGTATGAAATGGCGGCGAGTACTCACCCCTCGGGACATATCTATTCCCGGGACGCTTAGCAAGTTCATCTAAGCATCCCCTTCGTCGAACTTCTAGCTGTGTCCCTTACTTCTCGTGTTTTGATTTCCTCTTTACTGTCATCCTACTATTGATGAGAATCTTTATATCAATCCAACCAACCTCTACTAATGACCACACCATTCCTTCATCATGCAACCAAAGATTGCTCGAGTCCTCGTGGATGCCTACGGGAGTCCTCGAAATCTCACCCATTACGATCCGGAAGATGAGCCGACCAGTTGTCTTTCGACAGAACCCCATGACAACACTGTCGAAGACGCTGTCCAACACTACTTTGGATGCATTGAGATATGCGAGCGAGCCAAGTTCCTGAAGCCCAGCCATCCACACTGGCAGCACGAATGGAAGATTCAATATGGAAAGTTCTATACAGAACTGGAAAAGACGCAGAAGAAATTTCATGTCAACCACGACTACGACAAATGCGAAACCCATTTGAAGACCGTGCGAGAGAAGCTCGAAACAGAGGACCACACTGTCCCTGATAGCGTTCCTTTCATGATTGATCATGTCTCCAAGACAAGAGCCAATGAGTGGCTTGAAAAGAGAATGGGGAGTGTCGCTATTGCTATCGAGGCTCAGTACAAGCGGATAGAAATTTTGCGAAACGCGCTCAGCAAGACCCCGACACGCCATCAGAGGCCATTGTCAAACCACCAGCCAGCAGTCAAGACGGGGGATTGCGTTGTTACCCAGCTGCAGCAGAGTCGTGACATTTGGCAGAAGTCACCCCGCTTCAAACTAGGAATCGAATGGGTGCGCCAATGGAGGAGAGAGACGAAGCGCCAGAGAGACGACAATAGCAACAATGGATCCAGCGAACCAGGACGAAAAGAAGTTCAAGACCTCGCGAAGTTGCAACGCACGAAAAAGAAGATGCAATCGGACAATGGCAATCAACCCAATCAGGATCCCAGCAACGAATTGGCGGAAGACACCAAGAAGGAATATCACCTTGAACGAGATGTCAATGCCTATCTAATCCAGTTCAGTATCGAACGCGACACAGACAGGCCAAGCCAAGATCCCGAGTCTCTCCTGACACCGATTGATGAACCATTGACCGATGGGCGTTTCAAAGGGACTTTCCCTGACCAACGCATATCCATGAGCTTTCTCCTCAACAATGGAGTTACCCATGAACCGGAAAGAACTGATAATACCAGACTGAACAAACACGACCCGGAGGGAGATTGGAACATCATGTCAAGAAACCGATGCAAGAGCCAAGATGGTTCGGGACCGCCAAAGAGGATCCGGTATTTCCACATTCCATCAAACAATATGGCAGTATGTGACTCTCCAGCCGAATATGCTTCCCCATTACAGCCCTTTATACTACTAGTTCTATTCCCTGCCGGCTACTGGCTAACATAACTCGCTGTACTTTTAGTGGGTGGAGGTAAGATCTTGACATACGCACCAAAAAATATCCTTCCTGGCTCAGTACTGACAGGCAACAGAAAGCGATTGCCAACTACTACGAGACCGAAACACCAGATCTCAACCGCAAACTCAGACATCAAAAAGTGCAGACCCCAACGCACATGCTCTTGAGCCCTCAGTACTGGCGAGGTCAGCAACAAGGGACTCGAAGCGGTGTGGTGCACGCAAGACACATGCGTTCTCTTTGTGAGGTGGTCTCAACCGAGACAAACGAGATTGAGAAGCATCCTAAGAACATCGTTCTTTTTGTAGGTCAAAAGCACTGTAGTTTCTCGCATGTTCCGGAAAAGATGGCACTGACAGTCTCTTGACCTGCAGATGCCATACCTCCACTGGGAAACAGATCGTAGGAGGGAGACCATTTCGAGACTGATTGATGTTGAATCCGACAAATTTCGTCGAAACCGGAAGGAAGAGAAGAAGAAAAAGAAGGAAGATCGACAGAAAGAGAGATCGAAGCTCACCAAACTCTCGGAGAATGACATCGACAGAAGGAAGATAAGACATCCTAGGGAGGGTGCCGAAGATCCAGAGAGTCAGAATAAGCTGCTTGAAACCGTTGACCTGGCACTTCATCAACTCTTTAGACGTCGCCGGATAGCTCGACCCGATGAAAAGCCTTACATCGATGACTCTGGCCGTCTGATAGTCATGAGTGCTCTGGGTCAGTATCTGGTGGATGCTGCTCGCCTTTATGAGGCCATGTCAACGTACAGAGACCAACGAATGCTGGAAAAATATCTTTTTCACGATCCTCCCCTCCATCCGCGTCGGACATTGGACCAGTCCTACTACTGGACACTCAGAACGACTAAGGCCCGAGATCGAGATCAGGTCATCTACCGAGACACGAAGCTTGATTTTATTCATAAGCTTCAGGAGGCAGAGAACCCTAAGCACTCTTTATGGACCAAACGTCACAGTTCTCAACAAAATTCGAATCGAGCAGCCAACAGCACCATCCCTATGACAAACGAAAAACTGTCTCATGGACATGGAGACAGAGGTACAGCTCCGCAGGATGAGGATGATGTTTCACCGCTTCTGAAGTGGAGCCACCATTCTGAGACAACTGATGAGCTAGGCTGCGACCAGTGCAAGAGCGACATCAAGAAAGTCTCCCAGCTCATCATGGTCGATCAGTTATGGATGTGGGTTCTCGACGAGCACACAATCATCACCTCGTTTCCGCGGCGCTATGGAAGCAACAAGCATGACTTGTCTGGGGTACACCGATCGATAAGGGACCGTTTGAAGTCATTCCGCAAGAATCAAGTGAGATCAGTCTATGATCTGGCGCTCATCATTCTAGACGAATGCTCTAACACGTTCTTCGACCGGACAAGGGCTGATGTGAGCTACATCGCGCAATCCCAAAGCGTCATCTACAGAGGCAAGCTAACAAAATCGTTTTTCAGGAGGGGCAGCCACAAGTGATGGACATCTTCTCCGAAGCCATTGGGCGAGTTGTGCGTATCAACAGGGTTCTTTGTGCCTTTATGCATTGCACTAACTGGTTCAATCTAGACAAATCAACACACGATATCATTCCAGCATGTCTGGCACTGGACGCAAGAGGCCTCCAAGATATATCGAGCCAGATCAAAATACGTCAGCTCAGCTAATCTGCATGTGTCCTTGCTGGACATCAATCCGGAAGGTGTGAGTAGGCCACTCATTCTGGCATTCACTTCTAATACCACATACTAACTATGTGGATAGAAACTTCAACGCGAGGTCAAGGACATCCTCGACGAGCTGGACATCATGCTTCACGTCCACAAAAGACAAAGAGATATCATGAAGCGATTCCGCAGACATGTCGAGCACATTTTGGACCCCAAGAACCGATGGAGTGGCGACTGCTTCATCGAGGAAGATACCACAGAGTCCTCGCAGAAACCGTCAGGGAACGCAAGTGCGAGGAGTGGCAAGAGCGACGAGAAAACTGGAACCGATGACGAAGAGACGAGAAGAAGAGAGCAACTTGGATGGTTCCGGGTTCAATATCAGGAGCTACTCTCAGAAGTGAAGGACCGAATCGACGAGCTCGAGGGGCTTAGGGCAGGTGCCAAGAGTACAGCTGACAGTGTGAGTTATTCCTAAATCCCATGCCATGCAATTTCAAGAGACAGACATGCTGACACGGAATTTTGCAGGTCAACGATCTTCTTGCACTGAAACAACAGCAGTCGAGTGTAGTGCAAGCCTGGGAGTCCGTCAGACAAGCTGAGGAGGCCGTCACACAGGGACGTGCTGTCATGATGTTCACAATTGTCACGATTGTGTTTGTAAGATGATCCAGAACCCCCCACAAGGAGAAATCACACGGCTAACCGGTGAGGCATCTAGCTGCCCTTGTCATTCATGTCAAGTATCTTCGGCATGAACAATTTCGAATTCACTGAGACCGGTCCCATGCACTTGGGACAACAGTTCAAGCTTATGTGTAAGTGATGTTGACTACCACTCATTGTTTCCAGCCTATGGATTTATGCTAATCCATGCCCCAAACAACAGTCTCCGTATCTATAGGTATCATCATCGCCACAATCGTTGTTGCGTTCAGTCCCTTGCTTCGGGCAACTGTCGTCTCCTTCACAAAATATGTCTTCACGGTCATCGTGGTGTACTCTCAGCTCTACAGGTTCTGGGTAGTGTTCCACGATGAGTGCCGGTCGCAATCCCTCATGTATAAGACTGAGCTCAAAGTCCGGAAGATGAAGGAGGAGGTCCGAAAAGCCAAGCGAAAGAGAGCAGCTCGGAGGGCTGAACTGCTCAATAAGGACAACCCGGACGAGGATGGACCAGGTTCTGACACTGCCAACGCGGCATCAGAAACGCCAAAACGCAGTTGGTTCAGCAGGCTCTTCGGGGCAAGGAGCCCTCCAATTGTTGACGGAAAGCCCACCAGGCGAACTGAGTTGGTCCCGAATGGAAAATCTGAATCTCGCGAGGCAATTGGTGATGGCGAGCAGAGCGATACGAGACCTCCATCGACTGTATCCAACGGTACGACGCAAGTGAATACAAATACAATGCTCGGTGGCAATACACCAACACGAAGGGCTAATACACCAGAGCCGGGGCTGTCGCGCATTGGAAGAGATCCAGGGAAGATGGTGTGAGGAACGAAAGGTTCCAGCCGATGGGTGATTACTTGAGATTGGAAACCCTAACTACTGGCCCCATTCTATAGCTGAGCATCTTACGGCTCATAATCACCTTTGCTCATATTTAGGTTTGTGGACCGGGAATCTATCAGACCATCTGGTGTATTTAGCAAGTATACCGTAATGCTTATCTCAACGGACGCGTAGCCCTCGTCTCACTTTGGAGATTTGCGAACATACGGCTCCCCATTCACTCTTCCCCCACTTCAGTTCATTCCATGAAGAACTGGAAAGGGGTGGCTGGCACGAGCGGGCAAATCTTTGGAGGAAACTCCAATCAGCATGATGGTTGTACAGAGCCTTATGCAAAACCACGAAATTGCTTGTCACCCATTAGGCAGGTGTGTCCACAGTATTGCTATCGGGGAGCAGCCCGGGAGGGTGCCCCCCATGAAGCATAACAGTACTAGTCCGTCATAAACTGAGTGGAAGGCTGTCTGGAAAGAGCAACCCTTCGGAGAGGGCCATCATCAGCAAAGCCGGATTCCTCATCTTGGTTCAAGATCTTGCAGTGGTTCCGGTTCTCCGTCTGTGGCAGACTTTTGCATGATCTTTGCCTCTTTCACTCGCCCACTGCAACACCTTCGCCCTCTGAGCGAATTGCCGCATGTTTTCCCCAGCCCCATTCTTTCCGCGACTACAATCATCTCTCTCATCTCACGTCTTTCATTTGTTCCTCTGCTCAACCCAGTATCGTACTTTAGCCCCACTTTCATCATCTTCCATTCAGGCCGCAGCGCAGTGCACCACCTACCCAGCCGCATTTCAGCCGCCTGTATGCCGGTATTACTGCTTGACTCCCTGCATCCTCTAATTCGTCTTCCTCATGAACACGAAAAGATGTGGCTGCTGTCGATCCTCTGCCCGAAAGGCCCGAAGTGCTTCAACGAGCTTCACCCCCACAGCCTACCATAGTTGTTGAGCTCTTTGAGCAGGAGAGCTCCGAACAAAAGGATTGAAGTACTCCCATCCTTCCCCTTCAAACCAGCCCACATCATCGTTCAATATCCAACAAGTTTTCCCAACACCATATCGAATAGACTCCCCAAATATGACCTGGTCGGGCCTATAGTGGCCCAAACCCGTGTCTCAACATGAACACAGCCCTCATATTTACCCGGCCCGAGCTGACACGACGTCCCACCGACCTCTCCGCGATATCCAAACCCCAAAGGGGCCCGCAGCTCTACAACACATATGAAGAACCAAATACCTGCCTATCAGCCGAGCCGCATGAGCAAGCCGTTGACGACGCGGTACAACATTACTTCGGTTGCATTGAGGTCTGCCAGCGGCCTAATTTCTTTGATCCCCAAACTAATCATGTTTGGATCAATGAGCGGGAGGTTGCGCGCAAGAAGCTGGTGTTGGCAATGAGCGGTGCTCAACAAGATCCTTCCGCAGACGACCTGGAAACAAAGCTTGAGATGGAGATGAAGGAGCGGATGGTCAGCGTGGCGATTGCAATCGAGGGACGATACAAACGAGCCGAGGTGCTGCGCAGAGCTATCATGAAAGCTCAAATCTCCAGCGGGCAGCCAGCTCTTCTCTCCAACGTTGAGCAAAGTCGCTACAAGTGGTTGAGCTCTCGGACCTTCAAAGATGGTATTCAAGCCGTTCGGGTGTGGAGGAAAAGCAGTCAAGGGGGAAGAAAAACGACGGACCCAGTTCCTAAAGGGGAATATACCGTCCCCAACTCATCCAGGACGGAGATCGGTCGCTCTGAGGTTCAAAGCTTTATCAAGAAACACCGCACCAATGTGAACAGTGCCAGAGGCGCCGGTGAATCGGAGTACAGCATTGAACATGATGTCCACGCCTACCTTATGCAGTTCGATGTTCAAGAGGCCAAACCCACTGCTTTACCGGGCTCCGATCAATCGACTACCGCGAAGCATTTCTTGAAACCTGCTGACGATGAGCGCACCGGCATTCAGGTAAAGGGCACCTTTCCGGACCAACGCATTTCGATGAGCCGGCTGTTGAATGATGGAAAAGACCTCGGCACCGAATGCGACCCAATGGGCCACTGGAATGTCCTACGGAGGGACATAAATAGTGACCCTCCAGCCCCCAACCGAATCCGATATCTTCATATTCCTTCCAACAATATGGCAGTACGTATTTCCCTCATCATGAACCGCAGGTACAATTTTCGCTTACAAATAGTCCACAGTGGGTTGAGGTATTACTCTTCAGTCATAAGTTGTCTCTTAGATACATCGCTAACTCCTTCGCCAGAAAGTTATCGCGAACTACTACGCGGAAAGAAAACAGAATGTTAGGAAAAAAGGCCAGAGCACGGCTATTCAGACGTCTACCCAACTGCTCCTCAGACCCCAATACTGGGATGGTCAGCAACAAGGTACTCGAAGCGGCATAGTTCATGCCCGACATATGCGCCCTGTGTGCGAAGTTGTATCGTCCGAGGCAGGCCAAATTGAGCAGTCTTCAAAGAATATTGTCTTGTTTGTACGTTATAGTCTCCACTCATTTACATTCGCATACTAACATGAACTCCAGATGCCTTACCTGCACTGGGAAACCAACCGTGTACGGAAAACTATATCAAGGATCATCGACGGTAATTCGGACAGACATCGACACAATGACAGGTCCAAAAAGGAACAGCAAAAAGCACGCCGCGTCGAAAACCGAAGTGAACTTCCGAGACCCGGTGGTAATAAGTCCGCAGAGAAACCTGGACGATCAAATTTCTTAACGCGCGCGCGTCGGCTTACTACCGTGGGAACTCTGACCTCCACGATTGAACGCATACTTTTGCCTCGAGAGGTTAACGCGAACGTTGGGATTGACGCAACAGGAAGGCTACAAGTCAGGAGTGAGCTTGGCCAATACCTCATTGACGCTGCTCGACTTTATGAGGCAATGTTGATGTTCAGGGATCGAAAACTGGTTGAACGGTACCTGTTTCACGATGCACCTTTCCACCCTCGCCGAACTCTGCGCCAATGCATCAACAGAGGATTCAAGTCAACCGTTTCACGCGACAAGGACCAAACAGTCTGTCAAGAGACTAGCTGCGATGCGGGGCCCTTTTATAAGTGGGTGCTTACATGGAAAATGGGACGTGTGATACAAAACACGTTAACTGACACATCATCTCACCAGGTTCGTGTCATTACCTACCGACTTCATGGGATTAGGCCAAAGAATCATCACAGAGATGGACAAGGCTAAGCAACTTCGGTTGCAACATCTATCAACTGCCAGGCCCATGACAGAGCACTACGCCTATGCAGATCCTCACGGCTGTGAAGAGTGTAGGCAAAACATAATGCAGGTGCAACGGTTGATAATGGTTGATCAGCTGTGGATGTGGATTCTGGATGAGCAGACAATCATTAAGTCCTTCCCTCAGAGCTGGCAAAAAATTTCTAAACAAACTATCAATGGCATTCACGAGTCAGTCCGGGCACGGCTTAGGCCCCTAGGGACGACGCAGATTGATGATCAGGTTCAATCTATCTACGAGATAGGGCTCATCATCCTGACGGAGTGCTGCAGCGTACTGCTTGATCGTACAAACCTCAACGTATGTACATACTATTACCATCCACTTTTCCGTGAATTATCCCAAGGTTACTAACCAGCTATTGCGGGACAGAGCCAGTTTCAAATTCTCGACACCTTTACGGAGGTTATTGGACGTGTTGTAAGTACATCCGATGGCACAAATGCAGGGCCTTTGTATCAATTATTTAACAATGTTTTGACTCCTAGCGCAAGCAACACACGGTAATGCTCAGCCATCTCAGGCACTGGCTTTCCAGGGCCAGTCTGATCTACCGTGATCGCTCCAAATTTGTAGACTTATCAGTATTGCACCTCCCCTCCTAGATAATACCGATGAAGAAGTGAGTCATGCATACCAAGGCGTTTCTCGATGACATTAGGCTTACCTCGGTTGGCACCCAGAAACTTCAGCAAGAACTTCGCGAAGCTATGGACGACCTGGATGTAATGATCGACATTCATAACCAGCAGAAAGATATCATCCGACGATTTTGCCAATATGTGGACCATAACCTTTCTGAACAAAAGGCGAAGCTGCAACGGTTTCAAGATCAGTCCAAAGACTTGATCTACAAATTAAGTAACCAGTTGAACGAGTTAGAGAGATTGAGAAAGTGGGCACAAAGTACAGCAGAGGCCGTAAGTTGCATCCGCTTCGATGACTACACGTTCAGGCGTGTTCAACTGATGCTTCCATAGATGGACGATTTGATGTCACAGAAACAGCACCAAGCCAGCCTAGTACAAGCGTGGGAATCGGTCAGACAAGCCAATGAGACAACCAGCCAGGGGCGAGCCATCATGATGTTTACGATTGTGACGATCATATTCGTGAGTTCAGATTTGCAGCATTAATCTCGGACCCACCTTTTGACGTTCGATTCAGGTCCCTCTTTCGTTCATCTCGAGCATCTTCGGAATGAATAACGTGGAGTTCACGGGTGAAGGTCCTATGACCCTGAGAGAGCAGTTCAGGCTTATGTGTACGTTTATGACGAGGGCTTCTTGTAAAACGCCTCCAAAAAGGACCAACTGCTAACTCATGTTTCCTTCCAACACTAGTCCCGATATCATTCGCCATAATTATCTCCACCATCATCATCGCTTTCAGCAAGTCCTTGCGAGGAATCGTCTGGTCCATTTACAACTATCTCTCTACAGCAGTGGTTGTGCACTTGGGGATATACGAGCTTTGGTTTGCGTTTCGCAATCAAGGACGATCTCCCCATGAAATGTTCATACGCACAATGGAGATGAAAGTTGATCAAATGAAGCGCGACGTAGAAAGGGAAAGAAGGCGGGAGGAGCGCGGCAAGGAGTTTCAGAGAAGAACCGGCAAGAAGCTTGACGAACAACCTGAAAAAGATGATCGACAACGCTCTGAGGGAAATTCCAGAATCAGGCATCCTTCAGGCCCGATAGATGATGACCCATTACCAAACACTTCTGATCAGACTCCATCGCCATTCGCTCTTCAGGTTTCATCACCTGGAGGAACAACAGAACGAGCTTTCACTCCTCGCCATTCGAACCGGTTCAGCATTGTACGATCAAGAGGTGTTCCTGTTACCCTCGAAGAGCATGAATTGGACAGCTATCCACCCGATAGTTTTGCTCTGGATATGACTTCGGATAGGATGGGAAGTAGGATTGTCGATAGACGCATGAACGACCGGGAGGAGCATCTGCCGAATGGCCAGGACGGAAGACCTGAGCCATCTTAAACATATTGCGGATGGATTATATTGATTTCAATGTCCTTCTTCCCTTTTTTTGGTTTCTCCTTCTTTCCTCGTTCAATTTTTTCTATCTTCTTGTGGTCAACATTTGTTCAGTTTCCTTTCCACATTGCACGTCCGTTTCTTAGGGCATCTGCTAACGGACCAGCAATCAGCGATGCAAGAACAGAACGTAACGATCATGCACTCCCCAAAGGACGTCACATTCTTTACAAGTATACGCCAATTCCACCCCAATTGTCTTTCTCTCTTCAATGCGTGAATGCCTGGTGCAAAACCTCATATCGTCATCCCGATTAACAAAGGGCGCCCCCCTTGGAAGGATCTCAGCGGGATATTAGCTGGATCTTAGCGGGATCTCAGGCGCTGGCCAATCCCGTGTAAGTGCGCTTGCAGATCGATACAGCAGCCCGAGCCTCCGCACCGAGATCTCGGATCTGTGCCGCTCCGATGCCAAAAGCTTGAAAACTTGCAGCCCTTTCCCGCGTGGCTTTAGGTCAGGTCAACGTCATCTTGCTTTTGAGCGCCGCATTGCGAAACTCGTGCGTTCGGATGCTCTCGTATGGGCTGATAATTTCGTATGATATAACATTGCGTAGCATGGACATCACTCGGTGCCATACCTCTACTTCACTCACCGGACAGGATACAATAAGAATATCGCTGGACGACAACATCCTTGGACAACCAAATTCCCATGTCGACTAAGCTTTCCCAACGCCTTGCACGATCGACTGCTACTTTGTCACCAAAATCTCTAGTTTCAAGATGCGGCAGACTTGCACCCATCGCTTCAGCTGTACGATCATCCGCCATCTCGAGCAGACGTCCCTTTTCGACAGCTGAAGCCCGCTACCTCGCCAAAGTACCCGGCATGGACAAGATCAGGGTACGTTACTCCCCCATTTCCAGACTCACCAGTCACCATGCACCTATCCACCAGTTTATCTGCCCCTGGCCATCCACTAACACCATCTCCCACCCCTAAACAGGACACAATAGCCGAAAACTTCGGCGGCGCCGCCGCCAAAATCGGCACCACGTCCTTCTCCCTCGACGACACCCCCGACCTTTCCGGTAAAGTAGCCGTCATAACGGGCGGCTCCGAAGGCATCGGTTTCGGCGTCGCTTACACCTTACTCAAGCACAACCTTTCCAAACTCTACATCCTCTCGCGCAAGAAGCAAATGTTCGACGGCGCTCTGGCCTCCATCGCGTCCCAGCTGGGTCAAGAGAAAGCCGATCGCGTCCAATGGATCAACTGCGATCTAGAGGACTGGGCGCAGACTGCCGCGGTGGCCGAAAAGATCAAGAAAGATACCGACCGCTTGGATATACTCGTGAATAACTCCGGCAGAGGTATCATGAAGCCCGGTCTGACGGAGTACGGCGTGGACAGACACATGGCCACGAACCACATGGGCCATGTAGTCTTGACGTCGCATCTGCTGCCGCTGATGCAAAAGACTGCGGAAGAAACGGGCGAGACGGTGCGGATCAGTAACCAGAGCTCGAATCTGCATAGCGCCGCGCCGAAGGGGACGCGGTTCAAGAGTCTGGAGGAGATTAATGAGGATGTGGGGCCAAATGGTCAGTATGGACGGAGCAAGCTGGCGGGGATTTTGTACGCGAAGTATTTTGATCGCGAGGTTACGCAGAAGGAAGCGGAAAAGGGAGAGGAAAAGTGGTGATGAATGCGACGCATCCAGGATTTGTTAGTACCAAGCAGAGTGTGGAGGATATTCATGAGCCGTTTGTTACCCCCCATCCCTCCCTTTAGTTGTTAAGATGCTGACAGAAACAAAACAGATACCCAATCAGCGGCTACGCAATGTCGCACCTCATGGAACCGTTCAAAAAGGACCAGTTCGAGGGCGCCGTGCCGACCGTGTACGCCGTCACGATGGCCAACGACGGCGGACAGTGGATTTGCGCGCCCAACAAGACCGAGCCTCCCAGTGACCTTGCGCAGAGCGACGAGATCGCGGATAATCTGATGGAGTTGACGAGGAAGATTGTCACTGAGAAGACGAGGCCCGAGTCGGTTGCGAGGGGGTGTCCGATGGATGATGTTGTTGTGAGGGCTTGAGCCTCATCTTGTGGAATGAGGTTGAAGAAGTTGGGCAGAATGAGTACACTACACGATAATTAGAACACATGGAGGTTGAAACGAGAACCAGGGACGATGCCTGCGCTGGGAGTTGACGTCGTGGTGGTCCACTATTGCCGCTATTGGAAACCGGGCGATCAGTGGAGTGGGTGATTTTGGGCATTGTTATGGAGACGTCAAGGGCAAGGCCATGATGATGTGCATTTGAATGCAGGCTTGGAGCTTGGCTGACGGCGGCAAGGTTTGTGGGAAAAGGAGTTTGGTAGCTTTGTATTTCGTTATAGCATACGCTGATAACAAAATATCGTACACAAACAGCCGGTAGTTATTCCTCAGTCGAATGCAGTTTGATGGAGTTGGACTGCTGTGTTGTTGTTGTTGCTGCTGTTGTCAAACAAACACCGGCGTCATCACGACCCCCTTTTTCCAGATCTGCAACCCCTACAGAATGTAGGGCGAACACGGCATTAGGACTCCCCTGCCATTATTCCAGATTTCCAGGCATGATTCTGGGCACCCACATGGGGCATCATGATGATCCCGGAATTTGAAAACTCCACATTGGTGATGTCGTTTCTTTTCGTTACTTATGTCTCTTCTTCAATCTGTAAAAGTGAGCCTCCTAATCCGAGGGATCTCTTCCGGTCCAGCTTCCGACGTCCAGAGGATTTTATAGATTTCCTTGGCACACCTTCAGCTGGGCCCAGGCAGTGGGCATCACAACCGTGATTGTGTCTTGGTGGTGACCGTGGTGATGGCCGCAAGGTAGCAAGGGGATAAAGTGGCAGCGAGTGGGACAAACCCCTGGATCCATGACGCTGGGAACGAGTCGCGCGGAACGAGTCGCGGGAACTCGGAGGGCACAAGGAGGCGTAGTGTGACAAGGCAAACCATTGGCGCGTTAGTTGGCGAACCAAAGGAACTATCACGGTGGGCTGTTGATGCCCGATTGGTTGTTGGTGATGCAAAATGCAAAGATGTTTGTTGAGGCACAAGCTGTGAGGTGGTGGTGTTGGTAGATCTTGGGTTGGTGATGGAGAGAAATAAATAACTCATATGAAAGGCCAGATGTTGACTGGGGAGAAAAGTTGAAGCCATTCAGAAGTCCCGGCATCGTGAAATAATTGATAGTGGTGACTTCTCAATCATGTCTTGGCAGGAGAACTGACAGCCAGTTGGGGCAGCACAGCAGTGGTCCACAGCAGCTTCTCAGCGGGTGGGGGTGCTGTCCGTCAACTGCATTGCGCTTGTCACTGTTCGTCACCCTCCATCACCCTGCTCATGGCCAACCAGAATCCAGGGAATAGACACCAAGACAGAGCGCTGCTGCAGGACCAAAACATGGCGTGCATCCCCGACCGCCCGCTCCACACCCTATTCCAGAGGCATCCACTTTCGAGAACCTTTTGGGAACTGTCTTGTCCCCTTTTTTTTTTCCCATTCCATCTGTTCGTCATCATCCCCTCCCACGACTTTCATCTTGACCACACCCCGCGCGGACAGCAGCCTGAGGGTGTTGTGACTTTTTGCGACGACAACGACGAACCTAACAGACCAAGCCACTCTTTGAAAGTAAACAGTCGCACCGACCCATCATCACCTCCTCGGCTGCCGTCATCGCCAATTGGACGTCCGAGACACTTCGAAAAAAAAAAAGAAAAAAAAGAAACAAGCTTCCCCCTACTACGAACACAGCCCAATTGGCCCACCTTCTCCAATTCGCCCATACCTCTCCAAGTCAACAAAAAAAAGAAACGATTAATCGCCCGATATTTGCGACAGTTCGAGACACAAGCAAACGTCGAGCTCGGAATCCTGCATCCAGTTCCTGTCGTGCCTCTTCCCCCTTCTCCGGGTCCCGTTCGTCGTTCCTCTTTCTTGACAACTTCTCCCGTCGTTCGCATCTTCTGCCTGCAGTACCCCGTTGCTTCCACGACAGTCACCGAACCGGCACCGCACCCCGAACCATACTACGAACCGTACTACATTAATGCAAGGCGGCGTGCCGTCCTTTTAACAAATTGTCTCGAACCACGCTTCCACTTTGACCTTCGACGCCCGGACGCCGACGACATACACGATCACCCCCTGAGCAGGCATCATCCCGACACAACTGTCACTTTGCGACGGCCTGTCGTTTCGGAACCCAGACATTGGAGAAACACGGCGAGGAAATCGTTGGCTCGTCACCTTGCTGTCGACGTCGGTACCGCGTCGTCGTATGGTCGCCCCACCGACGGCGTCGTTTGTCAACCGTTATGGACTCCCCCATAGACACTCGTTCCCATGGCCGCCCCATTCGTCCCCTTTCCGGCTTGCGACCTGCTTCCAGGGAAAGCATGAGCGCCAGTTCGACACGTACCCGGAACAGCAACACCAATAGCAACAACCAAACACATGCGCAAGACCGCTCCCGACCCTCCCGTCCGCCGAGCTCTTCCAAGCAACATAAAGTCCACTCCTCCCGTGATCGCGCTGACATCCTGGCCTTGCCCCCCATGTCAGAATATTTGCAAGAACGGATCGAACGGACACGAAAGATGGAGGCCGAACGAGCTTCCGGGAAACAGCCCATCGAGAGGCCGAAGACTTCTGCCGGCTTTACCAGTCCGATCGCTTCGCCAACAGAATCAATAGCAACGGGTGGCAAGGGCCGGCTCCCACCCACCATCGCCTCGGAAATCAGTGACAAGAAAAAGGAACGCCAGCCACCATGCATGAAGGATGCCCAGGACCTCTTGTCCAAGCTACACAAACAAAACTTCGACCTCAAACTGGAACTCTTCCATCGACGCGAGAAGCAGACGGCTTTGGAGGAGCTAATAGAGAAGCTGGAGCTGGAGAAAGAGCAGTTGAGGAGTGAACAAAGGGAGACACAGGACATCAATGACGTCTTGCTGGAAGAGCTGGAGAAGAAGGACAAGGCGGTTGAGGAAGCCGTGGCCATGATCGTTACTCTTGAGTCACGGATAGAGAATCTGCTCAAGGAACGGGAAATGGTTAGGCAGGTTGAGGCGGAAGGATTCTACAGGTCGGAACACAACTCCTCTCGTCCAATCTCAAGGAACGAAACGCCGGATACCCCCAGGGCCAGCGAACAAAAGGTTCTTCATCGCATGCCGAGTTTCCTGACTGAGCCAACGGAGAACACTGAGAACCTTCGAAACGTCTATCTCGGAACGCGAGCTAGTGAGCTGGGCCTGGGCCGGTTGTCGGAGGAGGAATCACCAGAGACAAATCGGAGCGAGTTCAATAAGGTTGGTAGCCCAGCATTAAGTCTTCTCAGCGAGAGTTCCTTCTTAAGCATCTACGGTCAGAACAAGGCCAGCCCTTCGCTCCGGCCGCAGAGCCCACCGCATGTGGATGGGGCTGAAGAGCGCCTGACTTCAATGTCATCCCGAAACTCGCCAATGCCCGAAGATACTCCGTCCAAATCCCGCCATCGTCCACTGTCGCCGATAGCTACGAGCAGGTCAAGCCCATTCCGCAAGAGCCAACTTGGACTTGGCATTGACAAGGCAGCCGATCAAGGGTCAGAGGAACCCAGAACTGCATCCTTGGTAGACAATTCCAGTTCAAGGCACAGGCTCGATCAGGAGACTGGCGCGGCATCGGTCAAGTCACAGGCAGACTCTACCTCCCGTCGAACAAACAGGTCATCTCTTCAAAAGGTATATACGCATGGGTCTTCGGTAAGGGACTTCCCTCGCGTGCATAGTGGTCTTCCACCCACCCCCGACACCATTTCAACTTCGACCCTGCGCGTCTTTCAAATATCAAATGACTCACTGTCAAAGGGACAAAGTTCGGGCAACGGGCCGGTCAATTCCTCTTCCTCGGGGAAGACAGCCTCGGTGCACTCGGAAGATGAGCATGAGGATGAAGATCATCTCCAAGTGCCGCGTCGACGACAGGGCCAGCCGGCGTCCATCACGGCTTTCAACAGTCTCCGAGGACTCGAAAGTGAAGGAGCCATGTTGGACCCTTGTTACACGACGTCAGAATCGGAACGCCCGCCCTCTGCTAGCGATGTTCGGCAATCGGAGGAGCATGGAGGGCGCAAGAGCTGGTCGAGTGAGGAGGAGGATGATAACGTGGAAGACGGGAGGACCAAGTCTTTTGCTTCGAGTATTGATCTATGGTTAAGGGAGAGCCAAAAGCCAAACAAAATAGTACCGCCACTGGATCCCTTGAGCTCCGTGTCCCAGGTCGGTGGCCACGAAACGGATCATGGCCGAGTGTCGCCGGACTTGTTCTCGTTCCCTACTGGATCACGCGGTTGGATGTCAGATGCGATTTACGGAAAGCTCGACGGAACGGGGTACAACTGTGCGGGTGGTGTACGAGTGGCTAGTGGGAGCTCGAATGCCGACTCGGCATTTGGCAGCCGGAGCTACATGGGCGACTCACTTCCTACACCAGTTTTTGGTTCAGGCTTTGCGAAGCTTCATGAGGTCAGGACCATGGCTCCGCCGCCACCGGAACGCGGGTCAAGTCTCAGGGCAACAATGGGTCATCACATCCCGGGCTTCGACGGGTCGCTGTCAGGCTCGGCTAGTAGTTTACCTGCCTCACCCACCGTACGGCAGTTCCAGACTCCATTGAAGGACCCCCGGGGCAGGAAGAGCAACATGGACTCTCCGAGGATGACCACGACGACAATCCGTAGCCACAGCATTGGCCAACGAAGCGACGCCCGCCCGTCGTCAGATCTATCCTTCGGTGTTGACAACCGAGCAGCCACCGTCTCGCCCAAGACCCTCTTCAACCCCCCCACTGAAAGATGAAAAGGAGAAGTCATCTAAGCGGCACTACCCACCCACAGCCTCGCAACCTGCTCGCGTATCAAAGTTCAACAGTTTGTTTAGGAGATCGACAGGCTCGGTTGAACCCACCACCTCCCACGGCCCGAGTTCCGTTCCCATCCCCTCTCCCGCTTCTGCGTCATTCTCTCTTTCGGCGCGGGAACCTCCTTCCGATTTCGGCTTTCCCTCATGGGGTAGGCGGAATTCCGAAATGGCCGCCGCTGACGATGACCACTCCGGCGCTACACCTCCTCCCATAATGCGGAGTAGACCTAGGAGGACTGACCCCTCATCTGCTGCCCATGATAGAGCTGATGATGAAAACGGAGGAGTATCCCTCTGTCCGTCTTCCTTTGGGGATTGCAGAGATATCGAGAGGAACTCGGCGGATCCGCCTCAGAGACCGGTTACCAGTGGTGGTGCTAGTCTCGGAGAAGGGGGTGGTGGTGTTTTGTCGAACTTTCAGAATCCATTTTCGAAGTCGGTTGGGTCTGGTAGTGATGGTCCGCCGCAGAGGGAAGGTGGAAGTGGAGGTGGGAGGAGGGAAAGTGCAGTGGTGAGTGGGAAGAGGAGGTGGTTTGCTAATCTCGGTAGGGTCGGGAGTTTGAGGAAGGGTCCGGCGCATTAAGCCTCCGCTCTTATCTGTCTCTATTTTTGTCACAACATCTGAAGTTTGGGTTTATATAGACAAGGCAGACAGGAAGGCTGAAGGGCTCAGGCCTGGTGGTAGGATGCTCAGATGGGCTCTTCACGCGTCCATCTGTCCTCTTTTCTTTTTCTTACCTGCTTTCATCCTTCACTTCACTTATCTTTCATGGGACGCAGCGCAGTCACACGCTTCTTTGTTTCACTCTTTTTTTCTTTTTCCTTCGTTGCACTTTTTCTTTCCTCACTTGTTTCGGTCACAGCGCCGGAGTTTTCCAAAGTAGACATCCCATCTCTAATCATTTTTGTTTCACAATTTTTACATACACATCTTGTATTATTAACCGTTCCTATTACGTTTCTTTCTGGCTAAGGTCGTTGTTGGCTTTAGCTCATTGCTGTCGGTATATCTTTTCTACTGGGTTCTTGAGGCATGGGTTGGGGCTTTGGGCGGGACACGATGTTGTTTATGAGTTTATGCTATGAGTTTTTGCATCATTTTGTCGGGTGAAGAAAGGCCTGAAGGAAGCGGGGATGGCGGTGGGTTGGTGGTCAACGGGTTAAAGGTTTCGGGAGACGGGAGGTGGGTGGATGACGGGAGGAGGACAAAGGGGGTTAGTTGAAGGAGCAGAGTAATGGAGATGTATGTGCACTTGGTTCTCAGGGAACTTGGGTGTGCGCAAGGGGTTGTGGATAGGAGAAACGAAAGACTCGAACATAGATGCTTATAGATATCTGGAATATCATGATTACCATCTATTAAATCCAGTTCCTATCATGTCCTGACATACCGTTGTTTGCTTCTATGCTTGCAGGCTTTGCTTCAAGCCATGTTGTGGAGCCAACCGGGCAACATGTAAAACCATCATACCTGTCTATCAGACAACTTGATTACCACCACCTTCACCATCACCCCCGCCAACAATCTCGCTCCTTACTGATACGCTTATAAGCCCATGCTGAAAGAATAATTAGCACATACGACCATACCCACTG